AAATTTTTAATCATTAATTTCTGGGAAGATGTCTCATCAGGCCTACAAGAGTACTCAAAGACTTAACCAATCATAAAATGTTAAATCATCATTTAATTTCAGTAAGCTCGTTCTAGACTAGACAAGAAGGGCTTTACTCTCCATATCATCAATCAAACTTCAGTTTCTTGGAAGGCTTATGAAAATGTAGTTTTCATTAATTTTCTACCATTCGAAATTTCGATTGTAACCATAAGTTTTCGTTCTGAATCAGGGTACAGCATTTAGCCTAGTGCGCTAAAACTAATGTAGAAAAAATATGGGCAACAAAACCAAGAGAGAAATGGATTGGGCAGTGCAGAAGAAAACGCTGTCTCTCCTGAAGGGTGAGAAACCCCTCCCCCGTGTGGCCACCTCCAGGAGGGTAATTATGTTGCCATCTCTCTTCTTTCCATCCATCCTTTCTCCTTCCAGTCCATATATCCCTATCTTTTTGTCACCTAAAATCCCCAAAAAAATCCTAAATTATCCTTTCAATTTCTGCAAGCTTTTTGTGATTCCTCTTTTAAAAACCCAAAAATATCGTTGTTCTTTTTCCTTTTCAATCTCAAATCTTAAAACCCAGAATATCTAGCTAATCTTTGTTGTTTTCTCTCATTTATAGAATTTGCATATTCAATCCGCAGGGCAAATCCTGTTTTGATAATCGGACTCGAAACGGATGCCCATTCTGAGGAACGGAGGTCCTTTACTGCTGCCAGGAGGATGATTGCCGAGTGTCCGATCCATCGGAATAGAGTTTATGGTGTGCTTGCAAAAGCTTGGGCGGATCGTAAGGATTTCCAAGTAAATGAAGTTGAAGAAAACCGTTATGCTATCTCTTTTCATTCTGTATCTGACCTGATGTATGTTCTGGAAAATGCTCCATGGTCTGTTGGAGGGTTTTTGTTCAATGTTAAACGATGGGATCTTCGTACGTCTTTGGCTGAAATTGACTTCTCACTAGAATCTTATTGGATACAAGTTCACGGTCTGGATGTTGATGAATTGACCTATAATAGTGCTGTTACTATAGGCAGTTGTCTGCAGATTTTAATCAAAGCCGAGAACCCGATAGTTAACAATGTTTTATCTAGGGGTTTCTTAAGACATAGAGTTCAAATTGAAGTTTTTAAGCTCCTTTTGCTGGATTCCAGTCCCATTCTCAGAATCATGAGGATAAGTGGGCTGAACTAGAGCATGAGAAGCTGTCAAACTTCTGCTATAACTGTGGTAAGTTAGGTCACTTAGATTCTGTGCGTGGAGAAGAGATGGTCATGTCTTTGAAGGATCCAAACCAACCAATGTATAGTAAAAGGCTGAGAACTGCACAGGCGAGAGAGACTAACAGGACCCCAGGTAGGGTTAAAAATATTTACAAAAGCACTTCAAGTAATCGAAGCCTATTATGCACCCTCGTATTAGGGGATAAAAGGAAGGGACCTTGGAATAAGGAGCCTTTTAAATCCCCTAACATTTTTGTTAAGCATCAACTAAGACCACTCCACATATGCTAACTGATATATCCTCGTCTAGAAAGAATCCTAAGCTCAAACTTGTCTTCTACCTGTTCTCCACCTAAGGAAAATAAACATTTAAATATTGAATACGTTGGTAGTAGCAGTAGTGGTTTGGTGGCTGGTAATTCAATGAGTAAGAATCCTCTTAACGCTGTTAACCTGGATATCATTCCTGTTAACGAATCTCTATTTGGTAATTCAAAAAGGGAGGAGGTAGTAGCCCAAGAAGTATTTGAATGAACCCTAGTCCCAGGTAATGATCGTACTGTGTTTGAGGGCAATGATCGCCAAGTTTACTTTGTGGAAACACCTGGTGATGAATCTGCACTAGCCACAAAAGGGTTGGAACATGTTATCCCCAGAAGGCTGCCTAGCAAAATCCCCTCGGACAAGGTGTTTAATGGTTTAAGACTCAAGAGAGGTAGATCAAATAGCCCCACTAGTCATAGCCCTACTAGTCCCACAGCAACAAAGTTGAAACCTAGTCAAATTCTAAGATTGAATCCTCTGCTACCCTTGCCTGGCCCTGGGAATGTAATGTTTCCAAAATCCAGTGAGAGAAAGAAAACACTAAAGAAAGGGAGGCCTGCTGGAAGAATGCAAAAACTGAGCCCTGGTGTCCAAATTGAGGAATCTCAGTTGTTCAATGTGCCCATCGCAGCAAGTGGCACCTTTGTTTTAGACAACAAAAGCTGAAGTCTGAAGGGGTTAGTGGCCCCCCTAAGGCCACAAGGGTTCCATGATTCTATTCAGATACTATGATTTTGCGAAGGGGCTGCCCTTGGTCATGAAATCTT